GTCCAGCGCTCGAAAAATGTGTTCCGAAATTCATCGGAAAACGTTTTGAAACAATAAGGAAATCGCCGATTTAATTGGCGAGCCCTATTATTTATGATTATGAGAAAATAATAACATCGATCGAGCAACGATTGAAATCTTCGCTTTTTTCTATGCGAGACTGACGAGTTAAAGTTACGAGTTAACATTTCGGAAGTTTTTGATCGAAAATTTTCACGAGCGTCGTACGAGTTTGAAATATAAACAGAGATTTTCTGTTGGCAAAGTGCTTTTTATTTGTAAAATCACAAATAGCTTCACAGAGTAGATTCATACCCCTGGAGTCGGAAATACCATGCACCTAGTGTTTGTGATTGCCATAATATTTAGCAATTTCAGTGAATGATATCAAGTGAGAAAAAAATCTGGCGTTGGTTATTTCGCATCATTGCCTTTACAATTCGAATATAGCTTTTTAAACAACATAATTTTTGACATATGACGGACATATGACTTGCCCATATGGTCATGATCGAATTTGTTATTATCGTTCTGTGGGCCTTTGCCTTTATATACAATGTTGTTTTCTTCTTCTTCTTCACTTTAACCTTGGCATCCAGTAACTGCATGGTCAATAACGTTCATATGGAAAAATGGAAATCAACGATATTATAGGAGTCGAAATGTTATTATAAAGAACAAATTGTAATAATAAAGTAGTGACAATTCAAAAAAATTGCGCAGACAGAACAAACAAGAATATGTCCGTCCCGCTCGAATACCACCAATAGATTCATATGCACGCTCTCCTCGTTGTTTTCGATTAAAAATATATTTTATAGAAAAATTTTGTACAAAAAGTCTATTTCGCAGGAAATTAAAATTAAAAATAAGGGTGCTGACTTCTCGTGATGTTATAAATGTAAGAACAACGACTATCAATGTATAAGAACAAAATGATCAAATACAAGTGAAAAATTACAAAAACTTGATACTAAACTTCGAACAACAAATAAGAGACTAATAAAGATACAGAAAATCTTTTACATTTCTTATATTCATTTCGCGAGATTGTCAAATATTCAAATTTGCTTAGAATAAATCTTCAATTTCTATCGATTTGTGTGTGTGTGTGTGTGTGTGTGTGTGTGTGTGTGTGTGTGTGTGCGCGCGCGCGCGCGCGTCATCTTTAATTAATATCTATCTATTATGATGAAAGGATGTTAAGAACGTGGTTAAATCCACGTTAGTGCTATTTTCAATTGCGTTCGACGTATTCCGGCCGATGATCCGAGAAACGCGCACCTATAATAAGAGGCGAAGCGAGTAGCAGACCTCGCGAACTTTTTGCTCGTGATAATCGCGCTGGGTGGTCGCACGAGCGATTTCCACATCGCGGATGTACCGGGTCGTCCCATAGGAATCTCATATTTTCGCTCGTATCTTTGTTGAAACCAACCTTGATGATAATGAATCGTAATTTTCCATAATAACAACATACTACAAAGTTTTCCATTTAAGTGTGTATATGTGTTTACATGTGTATTTTTTTTTAACTCATTTTTTCTTTAACTCGGTAAATAAACAATAATCAAGAATTAACGGATGAAAGAAAATTGAGATACGTCTTGAATGAAATAATATTCCATTCAAGTTCATACTCAAGGTTACACTTTTAAATAAATTTTCAGCTCAATTTTATATTAAAAAAGTTGTATAAGACTTTATATGCTAAATGGTGAAATCGTTCCATAGATATAAAATTGATTCAATGACGTATCTTTCAGACTTCTTTGTTATCCCACCAATTTTCGCGCGATTCGCGCGACTTTACGGTGTAAAAGATAAGAGAGGGTAGGGAGAATTTTCGGGATTCCGCGTCGCGGCAGTTCCGCGTGATTGCACAATCGTGCGATGCCGATCACCGGTAGAGGAGAGAAGTGATGACAGTCGACGGGAGACAAAAAGACTGAAATTCGAGGTCGATGCTCCACTTTTCTTCCCGACAAGGCGGCTCGGATGAAGAAGAAGAAGAAGAGGAGCCTCTTCGTGCTTCGCGTTTATGCCGAATGAGTCAGTGAGTCAGTGGCCCCGGCCTCCACAAGGCGAGCGTGCGTGCGTGCGTACGTTGTGTGCGTGCGTGCGTGCGTGCGTGCGTGCGTGCGTGCGTGCGTGCGTGCGTGCGTGCGTGCGTGCGTGCGTGCATACGGGTCCGTTTCCTTTTCTTCGCTTTTTTCTCCCTACGGAGAAGAGAGACTGACTCTCCCTCCCCTCGGGAGGATTTATGTGCGGGATGATAATGAAACGTGATGAATTAGTTTCGTCGGTGCCGGGGAATATAGAAGGGCGCGCGTGCATGTGAACCATGGCGTGTTTCGTCGAAAATAATCAACCCAGTTTTTGAACGCAGTCGTCGTCGTCGTCGTGTACCTGGGCTCTCCCGAGAGTCGATTCAATTTAGAACAAAATTGGCTCGATAAAGGTGCTTCTCTATGCCGATAAAATAAATATATTAATATAGGAGAAAGAAAATAAAATTATCGCAATTGTTCTCTGTTTTGTTAAACCGAGTGGAAAGTTCAACTTCGAATTTTATTCGTTTTATTACAAGTACAAGCGTGTCAGATTTCTATGAAGCTGAAAATAACAAAAAGAACATTATAAACAAACGAACCGACATAGTGGAATCTTTTTGCTAATGAATTGCAAAAATTTGTGCAAATGGATATCGCAATTTGCTAAGATATCGCTGCCTTATCGGTAAGAGGTGTTAGGACTTGCGAAGGACGGGACGATACGTTTGGGAAAGATCTCGGGCGATCTCGGTGGAAGCTCTCGGGTCCGATCGATGAAGGAAAGCGAATCGATACTAAACGCGCGCTCGTCCCGTATCGAAAGAGGCATCCTCGAGAGGCATCATCGCGATACCGTTCGCTTCAGGTGCCACGCACATTTTCGTCCACGCGGCGAGGATCTCGGGGCCCGATCTCCTGTTGCTCCGCGCGCGACAAGTTCCAAGAGATCCCTGTAGTTACAGAAGAGATGCCAGGGGTGGCGCGTCTGGACCCCGCGGGCCCCGGCAGGAAGTCGATCCCCCGACCTGGAACCTTCGAAAAACACGTCTCGGGACCACCCGCGTATGTGAAAAGTTCACAATCTAGCCGGCGCGTAGCCTCGAAGAAGTCTGACGTGTTCGCAGGTATGCGCGGGATTATTAATGTAGTGCGCGAAGATAATTCGGAAGAGTCGTCGGACAGTTCGTAAATCATCGCCGGTATTCGGAAAGTGCAATATCTTAAATTAAGACCATTATAACGATCGATAGGACGAAAGATAATTTCAAATGAGTAGCTTACATATCCATTTCTACCAAGATAAATTAATTTTAGCTCTCGGAGCTTTAGCTTATCTCGGTTCTTATTGTTTTTTCAGTTTCACGAATTAGAAAAGAAAAAAGATAAAAAGTAAGTTAGACTGAAATAAAAATTAATAAACATTGGTAGAAATGAACATCGGACAATTTTCTCCGAGGCAATCTCAAAAGGAGAGAACCCGTTGAGCTTCTCTCGAGGTTAAAATTTCACGTATGAGGATCGCATTCGAATTAAGTCCTCGCTGCTTTGAATATGGGCCGTAATGGACCATTCAGTGCAGGATAATTTCCTCACTACGAAATTAAGCGATTTAAGACACGCGATGAGTGGTACGAAGAGAGATGAGGGGATTCGATACTTTCGAAAAGTATGACTTTAGAACGGCGGCAGCCGAACTGTGGAGGCATCATCGGTAATACCGTTCACGAGAACGGCTTTGCCGAGACGACGCCGATAAGAGTCGGGTAGCGTTAACCGCCGTTGAAACGCATTTTCGATCATCAAACTGCTCCTCGTTAATCGCCGATCGGAGATAGCGCGGCGCCCGGTAGGAAATAACGGCGCCGTTATCGAGAACGGTCAATATTATAATTTGCATCGAATTCATGCGGTTATCTCTACATACCCCCAAAAGGGTCGCGCTATTATCCGCGTCTACTAACTCGAGAATCGATCGACAGATCGATCGACAGATTTCACCGCGCGGCGTAACAAGGAAATCGTTTCGTCTTAATTAGTCGTCCCTCGTATCTAGGAAACGAACGTAAATACGTTCGTTAACGTAATGTTTCGCGCGTAAATAATGTCAGAGATAAGGCAGTCAAGGCGGGTCGGTTCTTTTACTTACTTCCCGTACGCATATCTACGGCTTCGGATTTTCTTCATCAAATTTCCCGACCATTTGCTCCTAATTGGATAAGTTTAGTTCCGGTATTCCGCGCTTTTGCATTTCTTCCTCTTTCAGATTGGCCGAACGTTTGAGTGGCCACAATAATTTAAATGCCCCTCCAAGATCTTTAATTCAACGTAAATGTTATTTTATCATATTTTTTCACTTTTTTCTTAAAAACTTTCAAATGTTGATTCTGATTTTACATATTATTGATTTCCAAGTAACGCAAATTGTTGTCTGTGTTATTACATTATGTACTCATTGTGCGTCTTTAACGTAAAACTGAAAAGTTTTGCAAATAATTGAACTAATTTTCATAACAAATAGAAAACATAAGCTCGATTAAAAAAATAAATAATCTTTTATAGTTGCACAATTTATGTAATTTTCTTTTCGTCAATTTTTGAACCGTGAGAGAATCGTAAGTATACTCGAATATTCTCGAAAAAGGTTTATATAAAAAGAGAATTTGAAAATACCGAAGGCTCGAAAATACTTTTTACTTGGACTTGGATAAAAAATATGATATTCAACCCTTTTCAACTGTTTTTACTTCCTTAAAATTTCCAATTCCAAAATTATCGCGCGCCTATTCTATAACTCAACATTTAAAAATTGCAAAGGTTTGAAAGAGACGACTTGTCAAAGTTTCACTTCGTCACGCTATTCCGCGATGGATATTCTGTCCCGAAAACATGGGATATCGATTGCCGGTTCATCGATGATTGACGACGAGAATAAAACGAGTTTCTTACCTTCTCGAGCTGATCCAACGCTATTGCGGCATCTGTCCAGCTGGGTCTGACGTAAAGATCCGATTCGTGCCGAATCCTAGCACTTTCCGCCGCTTTGGAATCTTTCTCGCCCTCCGCGTCACCATTCTGCCGCGGGCCCTGCGATCCAGAAGGGCGTCCCGCTAGGATCCCTGTGGATATGGGTCCGGACGCGGAAACCATGATCCGTCATGCATCCGACCGCCACGCGCGATTACGACTTTCCGAACTCGGTCGCCTCCGGCTGTCCTGATCTCTTTCTTCTCACCCGATGATTGACGGGTCCTTTAATTTCTCATCGATCTCTCGTGACGTCTTACTAGAAATCTTGACCACCCCCGAGGCGATCACACGACGTTCCAATATCAGTCCTTTTTGACAGGACAGGGAGAAGAGAGGGGCAATCGGGCAATCTGGATTCCGAATCGAGTTGCACAATGCTTTTTTCCGTGATGCTCTTTTTCTCTCTTTCTCTCTCAATGCCGTGAATTCGAACGTATCATTTTGAGCCGCGGAACGCGTACCCCGCACTCACTCTGCCCGGAAAAATCGCAACACCTTTTCGGGAGCACTTCTTCACTAACACTGTCCGCGACTTCGTGTAATAATACCATGTGATCCCCCGCCGCGCCTCGCTCGAAATTCGCGCACGAGATAGCGAGTCGCGTGCGCGCATGCGCGCGCGTCCTCCCGATTTATCGCGCTACGCCGATTGAGATCGGCTTTTAGGTTACCCGCGATACGTAAATACGTCCCTTTCTGTCGCTCCGCCTCTCTCCCGTCTGCGGCGGCGAGCCGAATACGCCAAGGCGAGAGCGCGAACGAAAGGCGAACGAAGGGGCGCGCGCGCACGCGCACGAGAGTGATAAAAAATATATCGCGCGATGTGATTGTGCCCTTTTTTTTTATTCACCCCTCAAGAGCTGATCACGTGTCGTTGTGCCACCGAGTGAATTCGCGAATGGGCCCGCTCCGGACCCGGCTCGCCACGCGTTGTCACACTGTCACCACCAAGCGTCGTCGTCGTCGTCGTCGTCGTCGTCGTTGCCACCGCCGTCGTCGCGTTTGCAGATTGAGATGGGCCCTCTGCGCGGGCCTCCGATGATGCGTCCTGGTGGTGCGTGCTGCTGCGTGTAAGTGCGACGGCGGACACCGGCATTCACACGACCGCCACTTAGAGCAGTCTAAGTCGGTACTAAACGAAACGCGCTGCCACATTTCCTTCGCGGCCTGCCTGCCGCGCCGGCCATAGTTGACGGCCTCCCCCCTCTCCTCCGGCGCTCAGCGCTCGGCTGCGCAAACATTCAGGCTCGTGCGTAGCCGCGAGCCCCGCGGAAATCGGGGCCTGTTGTTGCGCGGACGCAGAAACGTTTTTCTTTACTTTGCCTCCGCGTTTGTATCGAAATGTTTGACGATATTGACCGCAAGAATGTATTTTTCTTATATCTTTTTGCGAATCTTTAAAATTTTTAGGAAATGTATAAAATAGTTTCTACATAATTTAATATAAGTAAAAGATAATTATCTTAATGTTTATCATTCGCGTTTCAAAAATCTAATGAAACGCGATAAAAGTTATTTTTTTTTATATATAACAGCAACTTGTTACGGGTTTTCACTGTTACGCTCGCGTTATTTTTGAATTTAACTTTGGAATTGATACAAAGATTATTTAATAAAATAATTATGCGCTAATTTATATGTGAAATCAGTTTTATTTACCCGACACTTGTATTTATTTTGTGTATCTGTTT